GTGTGTGTGTGTGTTCATGTGTGTGTGTGTGGGCAGGCCCGGGCTGGGCGGGGTCTGTGAGCGTCTATTTTTCTCGTTTTTATGTTTTTCGTTTTTTCTAACATATACGAACTTTGAAAAAAAAATAAAAAAAATGGGGTAGTAGATCCCCAAAATATCTACAAGACTGTATTTTTTATTATTTCTTTTGTTAATTTTTTGCCTGCAAAAAAATCTCTGTGAAAAAAAAGAAAAGCCCACCCACTTCATGTTTTTTTTTTTTTTTTTTCGTTTATGTTTTTGATTTTTTTAAAATACGGGAAGACTTCAAAAAATAAAACAAAAAAATACAAGGTTGTAGATCTCAAAAAGATCTACAACCCTGTATTTTTTATATTTTTTTTTGCTTATTGTTTTCGGGGGAAAAAAAAAAACCCGGGCCCGCTCAAACTCTGCTCAAGCGCTTTTGAGCGCGGGATTGAGCGGAGCTCAAATTTGAGCTCCGACCCCACACTCAATCAGCGCGCAGTTTCACAGTCTGTGCGTAGCACGAGTTGTTGGTTCCCTTGGAGTGTATGCTTTGCTCTTCCCACCAATTGGTATGAGCCTTTTTTTGTGTTTGCGCTCCCTGGTTCCCTATCTCATTGGGCTACTGTCTCTCAACGCTTTTTTTACGAACAGACACTTAGCCTTTGTACTCTCTTGTGCTTGAGCGCCCAGCACGAAGAGTAAATGGAATTCACCGCCGGGAATATATTTTCGTTTTCCTCAAAAAAGATCAGCACGCAATATACGTGATTTTTTTTCCCCGTCTTCTATTCTTCCAATTCATTGAATTTCGTACCTGTATTTTCTTTTTACGACCTGGAAAATTTGTACCCCTGAAAGGCTGAAGACTCTCGTATATGCTAAAATCGTAGTAAAATACCCCCAAAAAGATGTGGGGAGATTGCAACACCCCTCTGAAATTTCAAAGGCTATTTTTATATTATTATTACGTTTTTTAAGTGCGATGGCCTTGAGGTATTATCATCTGGCTAACCAGCCCAGGTAAATTCAATCTTGCGTCTAATCTGACACCGGGTGGCCTTTTCAGCCCAGGGTGGCCTTTATTTATTGCCTTCAGGCAAACCCCAATGGGGAACAGTGGCCAGGGGACAGCTGGAAGCAGAGGGACCTAGCATCGTCTGAGTGGCCAGTCGCCGCTGATTACCCCTCCCACTATGAACATCAGCAGAGACTGCTTTGTAATGCCAAGAGCTTGTGAAATGCCCTTTTGGATTTAAATCTTTGGGATCTACCCCTGTCAGGTGGAGGTGCAAGTTTGCAATCTGCCCCTGCCAGGCGTAAACCACAAACCTGGCAACCCCGTGACAAGGGTTTAAATCCAAGCAAAAGGGCATTTCATGATTTGACAAACTTCTGGAATTTTTCACATAACGGCCCCTATGCAAGGATGACAGTCATAAATCCAGAAATGGTCCATATTTTTCAAAAGGGGCGAGAAAGTTCAGAGGGGTTTTCCACTCTATGGACTGCTTCTGGGTGTATTTTACCGCATAAGTGTGTATTTTGCAACTTCTTTTGGGCCTCCTACCTTCAGGAGAGCCCGGGTTGTTGTAGAGGCTGGATTATAGACATATATAAGAGTCGCCTTCGGCACTCGGCCATGTGGTAGAGGTCCCGTAATCCTACCCTATGGGACTCCCTCCCAACCTACCAGGTCCTGACTCTTTCATAGTCCATAGTTTCTCCGGGCGCACTCCTACTCCCGCTATCCTACCTCAGTGTCTACCACTCAGAAGCATCACCCTCCAGCCTGAGGGTGACCTGACTGAACAGTGGTTGCAGGTACCAGGGCTAAGCTGAGCCCCACACACCCCATTCAGCACCCTATTAAAGCATTTTCGAGCAAGCCTTGCCGCCTGGGTACTATTATTATAAATGAGCCCAGCACGCAAGGCAACAATCAAAACATCAGTGACGGACAAGACAGGACATCGTCGGGGGGTGTAGGCATGGATTGATCATCTCATCTAACAACTTTTAACATTGAACAGGTGATGAGACATCTTCAATCGGTTAAAAAGTTGGCTCGCTCTCCCCAAGAACAGACAGTAGATGGAACTCACAGAGCTCGCCGTGATTCAGAAGTCCATATGTACATGGACTCAATCATGAAGTACCTGCACCTGAGTGAGGTAATTATAGTCTAATCCAGTTCGTCCTTGTTCCATTCTTATGAAAAAACTTGGACATCATAGATTACGAATCCCCCTGACCACTGGTCGACAGCTCGGAGTCATGGCCGCAACCTCGCCATCATGACCTCGACGGCGAGTTGTGGATTGGGGTTCCGGAACTCCAACCCCACCCCATACAGAAAAAATACAAATAGAAAAACGAT